TTATTGGAAGTTAATAATCAAATGCATAGAATTTTACAATTTCTCATTGATTCTTATGCCACATCTGCTTTATATTCCAAAATATACACATTTTCATTCAAAAACGCAGTTGCTATTTAAAAAAATATACTAAAACATGTGACGGAATGACACAAAAAAAAGTTACTTTTATTTAATATATTAAACTTAAAATGACTTAAAGGCTATGTTTTAAATGTTTAAATTTTGTACTATATGCATATTTTTATCAAAATATTGCAAAAGAAAGATACATTTCTTTTATTTTATAAGTATTTTTCAAGAAAACAATTTGAGCACAAATGTGAAGAATTCACTTGTCAGCCATGTGATTACTTTAGAATGCTGCCAGATTCAAAAAACTTAAAATTATCAAAAATTAAACAGTAATATGTAGACTTTGGCTATTTTTGAACATATTTTTAAAATTAAAATATGCAATTCATAAAAAAAAAATTTCACCTAAAAGTTGACACTTTCGTGGAATTGCCCTGTTATGATAATATGAATATCTAAGATTTGAATTGATACAAAAACTCTTTTTTTTTTTCAAATACGTGAATTATAAAAAAATAGTTATGTTTTACCTGAAAATCACATAAAAATCTTTTATTTGCTATAATTTAATCATCTGATTTATAAATAATTTTACCATTAAGGCTTTGAATTAATTTTATTTATTTGTTTTCCTCAAATTAAAGTATACACTGTAAAACATTTCGAATCAAATTTCGGTAAAACTTCACGAAGCATAAAATCTGATATACCGTAATTTTTACAGTAATATTCACTCTAAAAATCCCTGAATCACTTTAATTAAAAAATAGTACAGTAAAAAGTAAATTAAAAATTTCACAGTAAAAATATACTTTTGCTTGAAGTAGAGTAGGTGGAAACCAAGATTAAATAACGAATTATTATTGTTAAAGCAACTTGAAAATATGTGTTAATTTTATTTATAATTGCTCTTTTGAAATGTAACATAATGTAAAATCCAGAAAAATACTAACCATCAACTATAAAGTGAAATTACATTAGCGTTTCATGTAAATCTTCATTTTTACATAGATATATCTTTTAAAGAAATGTATTAAAACAAATTTTCATGTCCTTCGCCACTTAGGATATATTGTTGCAACTGCAGTACAATTTACTATATTAGAAGAAATTTTTCTCGAGAAAGATATATACATATACATCATCAAATGAGATGAAAGTTCAAAAAAAAAAAAAAAAAATCATGAAGCAAAAAATTTTTTCCGAAATTAAATTCTTTAAACTATTTTGATCCCTTCAAACATTTAATTAAAAAAAAAAGAAAAAAAAACATTAACTTTTTTCAATTGTAAGTTTTTCCAGTTACTTAAGTTTTAAAACATTTTTAATGAAAACCGTCGAATCAGTCATACAATCACTCTCTCTTGAATTTTTTATAAAACGAAAAAAAGGGTATTCAATATTGTTTGACTAAATATTTTAAAAATGATTAATTTGTAGGGTGAGTTGTTACCGACAATGTCAACCTTCATCTATGAAAAGGTACCCCACCGTAGAATCGAGTTAACATGTCTTATATACTAGTGAATTGGAATTTTATTTTTGTAGTGGTAGATACACTATAGTACTCCCCCACCAGAATTATATCTGTGATAGAATTCGATGAATGGATGCTACTAGTTGATTCATTGCTGTTTTGTGAGAAGCCGGGAGAGCTGTATTAAGATCACGATCGTGGTCGCTCCTGTGTTGCCTTTAGCAGTCGAGTGAATACGTTGTGTATGATTGAAACTGTGCAGCGCTAGGAGGTGGATGATGTTGCAGTCACAAGTAGCAAGTCAATTGTTCAATGCGGACCATCCATCGAAGTAGGCGTGTTCATATCGCAGTGGGTGTTTCTATCAAGGAAGGCGTGTTCGCAACACGGTCGGGTCACCAATGTAGGGTGAGTTGCTACCGACAATGCCAACCGTCATCTATGAAATTTATAATGCTTCTACCACGTGGTTTTTACGTGTGTTATTTTAAATTAATTTTTTACTTTTGACAAGGAGGAAGCATTGCTATTAGAATCCAAGTCTGGCCGGCCAGGTGGCCGAGTGGTTAGCGTGCCTGACTAATAAGCCAATGGTCGAATTCAGCTCTGAGCATGGATGTTTCTCTCTCGTGTGTGATGTGTGAATGTGGCCCACTTTATGAACGGGTTTGTGGCAGTGTGACGTGGGCAATGTTACTCGCCTCCGTGACTTTGGTTCGCAGGTGCCCACTAGGTAACACGAAATGAGTAACACCTCTGGCATCTTCTAACGCGAAACCAATGAGTTTCAGTGCCTGCCATTCGAAAAAAAAAAGAATCCAAGTCTGAATTTATTCCTATTTAATATTGAATTTGGAAATTAGGAAATATTTTAAGTTATGCATTTTGATGTTTCCATTCTTACTTATCATTACTTTTTAAAGAGATGATAATAAAAACTTTTAAGTCCAAGAGTTTTTGACTGTCATTTGAAACAGTTTAGAATAGCATATAACTTTTATAGAGATTTACACTGAAAGAAAGTAACTAAAATTTTTTACAACTTATGAACAACGTAAGAGGAAAAAAAAAAATTCCAATTCTCATAGATATTTTAGGCTAATTGTGGGTGTTTTAAATAAAACAATTTAATCATATAGTTTTATTCATTCTGGATTTCACGCAGGGGACGTTCATGGCTTAAAGATGTTCTGTTATCAAAACTTTACCTTTTCTGAAATCATTTTTCGATATTTTTTGTGCTTTCTCTTTATTTCATAAGAGTGAGCTACTATAGTTTCAAACGTATTTACACTTAAATATGATTACTTTTTAAGTAAAGTCAGCCGCAGACATTTTTTCAAAATAAAACCCGAAAGCCACGATGGCTAAGGGTACAGAGCGCTTGATTTCCGAAGAGGTGACCTAAGTTCAAAGCCCAGCGATGAATTGCGGATGAGAATTCCGCTCGCATCCACCATAGTGTTGACATAAAATATTCATACCTGGTCTTATTACAAATATATTCTTCGCTGAGTTGCCCCAGTTAAGCATTTCTACTAATGATGGCAATTATTTTCTTGCTCTTTTCCTTTTCTTTTTTCTTCCTTTTGTGCATTAAATTAGGGGGCGTGCTTTTTCGTTAATTTCAATTTAGTTGAGAAGTTGCAGTGTGTTGAGTTCTTCGGTTTGAGGAATTATTCATTTTTAGGTAAGTTTCTCAACATTGTTTCCTTTTGTATTAGTTTAAGTATTATACTTATGCATTTGTTTCTGTATTCTTTTTTTCTCTCTACCTGGACTTCTGACAAAACCCTTGGGGTACGGCGAGAACAAACTTAGACATTTGTCGTGTTCTCTCATTAGAAAAGCTTTTGCATTCAAGACTTCAGGGGCTGTTACCCTCTTATGACGTCATCCTCAGTTGTCATTTTTAAATTTTTCATTTTCTCACTGCTTATTTCTTTATATATTCTATTGGTTACAAATTTATTTCTTAATTTTTACAGAGAAAACTTGCTTCCATATGGTAAAAATCCTTTGTTGCTACAGATTTGCTTCTTTTTTTTTTACATTTTTTTTTTGTATGATAAAAAACTATTCTAACAACGGATTTTCTTTGTAACTCTTAAGGTAAAAGCTGATTCGGTGAAAGTTTATGTATCGTAAAAACTATTTTGAATACGGATTTATTTAGTTACTTTTACGGAAAAAACTTGTTCTTGTATAGTAAAAAATCCGTAAGGCTACGGATTTACATTATAAATTTCCTGGTTTTGCCCAACCAACTCAGCTACCAGTTTTAAACCATGAATTTTTCGGAATTTGTCTATAACGTACTTTAATTTGTCATTGTTTCTAATATTTTTCAAAACAGTAACATAGTATAATAGAGTATAATTGCTGACCCAATTCTGAGTTTATAATTAACTGCGTTCAATTTCATAGTCTTGTAATTTCGAACTCAACCCAGAAAACAAAGAAACTCCTAGATCCAACATTGATACAAGCTAGTCTTAGTGGTGGAATTTTGAGAACTAACTCCCATTTGCTTTGCATGGAGAGGAAAACTCCCACAGTAAGTCCGACGACAAGGGGATTCTTAGCCAGGATCCATCGACACGTGGGAATTATTTACATCTACACTGTGTTCACAGAATTCGTATCAATCAGCCATCGCTGGTATTCGAACCTAGGGGGCAACTCATTGGGAAGCGAGCACTTTATCCCCTGAGCCACCGCGATTCATATATAGCTGGTTGGACAAAAAATTAGCCAATTATTTTATAACCTGTAACTTCACATTTTGTCTTGATAACCACCTGGAATCGGTTATTAAACGAATCAACAAGATTTTGTGGATACATCACATAAATATTAAGTTACTCGTTGAAACGCACAAATCCACTAAATAGCGGAGATTCAGATTTCGGCATTTTCCCCCTTGTTTAGACAGATTATGTATGGGATTCAAGTCAGGTGATTTTGCAGGCCAATAGAAATGTAATTAGGCGTATGAGGGTCATAAAACCAGCTTTATATTCTTCCGGTCCGATGAAATTTGCTGTTAATCACGTTAAAAAATCAGGGATACTTCAGCATCCTGACGATATTGAAAGACAACATGATGATCTATTATGTTAAAATAAATATGCTCAATGAGGTAAGTGGTCCATAATAAGGAAATATAACAACCGGCTTGAACCTACTTTCATGATTTCAGTAGTGGTGACTTCTTTTTGTCTAGTGACCTTTTAGTATTTGGATAATAGTTTATGTAGTTGTTAATGTAATGATTCTTATAGTTAAAAAATTCAGTTATTAAATTAAGTTAGAAAACGCCAATAATATCTATTTATGTGTCTTTTCGCTGCTTGTGATGGAATATGCATTATTTATCAAATATTTTACATCAAATATATCACAAAATGCTAATGAAATATCAAATAATATCCATTAAAAATTACTCTTCAGTTAAAATCCTTTTATTAGGCAAAATGTTTTTACAAAACAGAAAATGTATAATGGAATACAGTAGGTACGATTTGTGAAATACACATATCTGTGGCATACCTTAGAACACTCTAAGGTTAGGGATAAATAATTCTAATTGGTTAGGGATAAATGATAGTCTAAAAGCTTTGTTAGTGATGATATTGTTTAAAATTTGTGTTAAATTCAAACAGTGAATCATATTTCAACTGTATTTTACATTGCAAGTGTAACATTTAAGACAAAGTGTAAGTGCATATAATAAAAAATATTTTTTTTTCTAAACCTGATTCTTAAAAACTCTTTAAATATTGATATGATTTCTGTGTGGATGTACTAATTATTTAAATCTCATGATTTCTTTGAATTGTATGATTAATCCAAGTGAGATGGAAGGGGACGGATGTATAGATGCCGGGTAACAGAGGTCTTGCACAGCCTATTCCTGCTGAAAGAACACCGACGACAGTAAAACGACCTTTTCTTCTTACAACTAACGGTCCTCCAGAATCTCCCTGTAATATTCAATTGTATGGTGTATGAAAATACATAGTAATGGTCAAAATAAGGATATAATAACGAAGTTAATCAAAAGGAAGCTATTGGTATTTCAATCCAGTAAAGCAATATTCTTTTGAAAGACAGAATCAGCATAAAAAATATGCATTTTCTCTTACAGAATTTATATATATCTAGTCTTTATATATACTACCTATATATACAATCTTCAAAATTTGTAAAATTTATGAAATGTAAGCTTATTTTATGAAAAACTTCAAAATATTATGTCTATTGTCATGTAAACTTTTGAAAAGTTCACTGTGAAAAAAAGTGTGTTTAAAACTACCTGAATGTGGTAAAATTGACAATGTTTTTGGCTCTATGGGTTCACCAAAGTTTTTGGTAAGTTCTACCGATGAGCTTTGTTAATGATTTTTCTGAAATTAACAATGCGTTAAAATTTAGTAAGTTTATCACGATAACTTAGAGCAAGGTATAAAAATCAGAATCATTAACAAACATATTCGGTAAATATAATTTTCAGTTTTGTATTATTTACTAAATGTGTGGTAATAAGCACTTTAATTTTGAAAATCAGAATTTCTAGTAAATCGTTATCATATGAATGAAAAACATGCTGAATGAACGGTTTAAATAACTTTTATTTTGGTTTTCTTAACAAGAATTATAGCTTTTTCTTTCTTTTTTTTTTAATACCAGAAATGTCGTTACCTTAAAGTATGGCAATTTTACCACATTTTTTTTTCTCCGTGTTTATATATTCTTAAGTAAAATCCTTTAAAACCATATATATTTTTACGAAAAGCTTATAAAAAATACTTTAATTTTCATAAAAAACTTATATAATTGTTAATGAATTACATAAAAATATACATTTTTTAAGTCGTAAACTATGGTAATTGGTAATTTAGTAGACATATACTTTGTTAAAATGTAATAAATGATATTGTTTAAATGTACGTTCGTTTTTATTCGCAAAAATCATTCGTGCACAAATTACTTATTGAAATTTAATCTTCTTTCAAAAGGTTATAAGTTAAAGCTTGTTTCAGCTCCGATATTTGTATACTGGTTTTTGCCCTTTGGAAAATATATATTTAATGCGTGATCTTGAATTCTCTCTGTTTAAAAATTGATTTTGTTTTGAAAACACTTTTTTAAATGTAGTAAGTTCTTTTCCCCGTATATTTGTTTTGTCATTAAAAATATTTACTTAGGAGGTTGCTTTCTTTGTAATGTAAAAGTTTTTTGAAAATTAAATACGTTCAATTGTTTTAGGCTATTTACTTCTGAAATATATATATGGGAGAAGCCTGTGAGTCAATAATTTTGTTAAACTCAATAAATAACCATACATTAAACTTTTGCTTCGTTGCGACTATTTTGTTTGGAGAAATAACACATTAAATGAAAATCTGAAATTAGTAAAAATAAGCTACAATATATAAAAAGGTTGTACAAGCAATATTCAGCAAGGAACTATTATATCGAATATTTTTCCTTAGCTGTACCTAATAAATTTTTTCATTATTTAATGCTTATTATTTAATATAAATAAACTCGCGTTGCCTCTAGAAATATTTTGTTTATTCTTTTCATCTCTTTTGAATAAGATTATTAAATATATGCTTAAAAAATCTTTATTAAATTTTCAAATTTATGCTGTTTTTTACATGGCATCTTTACTTTTTATCTGTTTATTAATACTAAATAATAAGCATTAAATAATGAAAAAATTTATTAGGTACAGCTAAGGAAAAATACTCGATATAATAGTTTCTTGCTGAATATTGTTTGTACAACTTTTTTTCATATTGTAGCTTATTTTTAATAATTTCAGATTTGCATTTAATGTGTTATTTCTCAAAAAAAATAGTCGTAACGAAGCAAAAGTTTAATGTATGGTTATTTATTGAGGTTAACAAAATTATTGACCCGCAGGCTATGCTTATTAATATTAATATTTTGCTTATGCTAATATTAATAATATCTCAGCATGCTTATTATTTAATATTAATAAACAGATGAAAAGTAAAGATGCCATGTAAAGATGCCATATTCATTCAATTATTTTTATTGAAATGAAGCAAGCAAAAACACAACTTTCTAACCACTCACACTCATTTATGCTACCAATCGCAACCTGACTCGTATCTCGTAGGTCACGAACCTATACATAACCATCTTTCCTGACATAATCGAACAGAAATAATCAAAAACGTAACATATACATAAATTATAAGCACAGGGTATCAAATATTTAAAGCTACTGTAACATTTCCTTTAAGTGTTGCTAGTGACAGTTGGGCTAAGAGAAACTTTTCAAAAAGCATCGTGATGACGTCAGAATGGATTGTTCTTAAGCAAGTTCCAAAGTTTATGCTTTTAAGCAACATAACTTTAATAAATTCGAATTTCCTTTTTTATTTTAAAGATAATTTTTACTTTTTTTATTTTAATTGACATAGCAACGTTTCTTTTTTTTAATATTTATATATGAAGCAGATAAAAGAAAAAAAAATGGTTGTTAAAATGATTGCCGTGTTACAAAATGCAAACGATTTAAAATTTTAACTGTAATTATAACAAAAGTTTTTCTTTAAAAACTAAAACGATTTTGAATGTTCATTAAGTTTCTTAAAGTTTATTATAATATTATGATTCTGCAAGTTCAACATATGAAACTAAGTAAATCCTGTAAAATATTCTTCGAAATAAAAAAAAGGGGAATTCGTCATTTAAACTATGATTTTAATCTATTTTCTACTATATAACTGGTATTTATTGATATAGTTCACCATTTTCGTTATGATTTTAACTCCCATTTGCTGAAACAACCTTTTTGAGAAAAAGCTATTCAGATATCCATTATTGACAGAAAAAGAAGGTAAATGAATTTTATATTTTTCAATTTTGTGGCATTGTAGTTTTCCGTAACTAATAAGTATTAGAAAAGTATTACCTCAATAAAGCAAAGATGTTATTAATTTATTTCCTGAACTGCGTCATAATTATAAATTATTAAGGGATCTTAATGATAGTAAAAAAAAATTTGTCAAGAAATTGACTTTTTTTTTCATTTTGTATAAGAGTAAAACTCTTTGTTGAAAGTTATAATTCAAAAGTTTTAATGTGATTTTGATATGCGGAACACCAAGTGTAAGTGATTAGATATTAGTTGTAATCAACAAAAAATTGGTTTTTCAACGTATTCTAAATCAGCAGAAAATATGCACCTCGCCTGTAAAGTTGGCTTCAAAACTCGTTTGTTTTAAACTCTCTAAAAACCTCATGGTTTCACTGAAAAAAATCAGCAGTCATTTTGTTTTATGCTATAGTTTTTTTTAACCATGTTTAAATTATTGAGAAAGTTATTTTTGGCAAAAATTGTGCATTAAATAATACACAAATAATTAAAATAAATATTTGCATTTATTTAGGATTTAAAAATTTAGGGACAGTAAGAAAATGTAGGGGAGAGTTGGCTGCGAGCAGGCACTTTGATTGATTGAAAATTAGTTTCGTCTTGTAGCGGACAAACTCTGAATTACATTTTAGACAAGAAGAAGGATTTACCTATTTTTTTACTATCTCGACTCTCTGATGTTCTCTTGTTTTTAAACAATCCTTATTTATTGGTCATTATAGCTGTAAAAATTATTTTTAAACCAGCTTATTTTAAGTTCATGCCCCAATCAACTATAAGGATTTAGTTCAATAGTTTTTGTTTTGCTAACCTCTACTCTGCTATACAGGGTAAAACTAACCTCTGTTCTCGGGAAAATTAAAACCGTGTACTACCCGACCATACTGTTCCCCTTAATGTGTGCCTATGCTGGGCCCATGAAATCTGCAGTGTAGAGGATGGAGAACATAACTTTATAAAGGCAAAGCAATGGTTTCACTGGCCCCAGTAAAAATTTATTGCGAACCCCTTCCTCAAGGCACAAAAAGCCTTAGATTTTGGTGCATTTCCTGAAGATACTTCACATCATTTGTAAATTATATGCATAATTTTTTTCAATAATTTTTGTCAAAATACAAATGTCTGCTACTTTTTCACTGAAATTCTTGCAGCTCTAAATTTTACAAAGTATTAACATGTGTACCCGATTTTACCGGAACCGGGTGATATGACATCATTATGACAAAATGGCATATTATGACAAAATGGCTGGCATATGACAAAAAAATAATTTATAAAAAAAGTAGTACATCAATGAGTTCTCAGGAATGATATATAAATTTTAGCTACCCGGTCTTATCCCAGTTTCTCCTATATAGTTAGGAGGCAGATTGATTGAATGTGGAGTTTTATGGCTCAGGATCCAAAGGAGGATATGCTGCGCCTACCCGTTTAGGAGACGTAAAAAGATTATTGTCATAGTACTGAAATTAGGTACCTAATACCTATTATCTATCTATAAGTATAGCGTGCAAAATAAGGAAACGGAAAACCCTGAAAAACTTTTGATCTAGAGTGATCGGATCTTCGCATTCTAGAAGTCAATCTTAATGGTTTGAGGGGTAAGCTAAAATATGCTAATTAATTAGTGCCGATGATATTTTAAGTTACGAAACAAGACACGAAAATGTACTTTCTCTGTATACGCATACCTTTCTTTTCAATGGATTTGTCCAAAGCTTAGACCTCTAAATGTTAGTTTCACTAATTGCATATTTCATTACATCTCGAGAACTGTTTAAACGAATTTAAAATTTGTGAACAAAATTATAACTATCGTTTATCCAAAGATAATTTCAAGCAAAAATTTACTTTTAGTAAATATTCATCATTTTTTTTATTTATTAATAGTCATTTATTTATTAATGTCAAAATACAAAATCTGAGTGAACTCGGTCGAATAGTTCCTGATAAATGGAATTTTAAGCATACAACTTTTATAAATTCGATTTCTCAGGAACTATTCGACAGAGTTAAAAATAGTAAATACTTACTAAAATTATTTTTTGCATGAAACTGTCTTTGGATAAGTACATATTATAAATGTGAGCAGAAATATTTCAATTAACTTAAAAATTTTCCGAGATATGATGAAATACGCGAGTAGTAAAATTAATATTAAGGGGCCAAACTTCGGACCACTCTCCTGGTTAAACAATTGTGACCATATTTCCCAAATCGCAGATATCCACTATGTTTTGGGGGTTAGAAATACAATCCGTCAAAAAAAGGTATATATATTCAGAATAACTACATTTTTGTGTCTGATTTCGTAACCTAAAAGTATTGTCTGCACTAATTCATTAGCATATTTGATATTACCCTTTCGAACCATTAAGATTGAGTCCTAGAACGTGAAGTTCCGATCAAAAGTTATTCTTGGTGGTTTATTTCTTATTTGGCGCACCATAAAACTGCCGTGCAATAGAAAAATTATCGTAAGCGACAAAAAAAGAAATCAAAATTGAGATTTATATATGTTTGGCAATTTTGTATAATAAGTTACATATTACAAAAAAATATATTTTATTAAAAATAAATTCAGTTTTATCAGTTTTTTGAAATTTTCTTTTAGTGTTCATTGCATTAGCAATAAAAAGAAAACAGTTGCCAAATCACTTTTCTCGAAATCTATCGTGAAGCAATAACGCTGTTTTTATCAATAGCACTTTTTACCACAATTAATCAAGTATCATTGGAGCTAATAATATACCAAACATGGCGACGTTTTAACATACCGAATCGAATTTACAATAAAATCTTTAATTTCAAAATAATTTGGAACGATTCTGTTTCCAGGCACCTTTAAAGGCCAATTTATAAATTTATTATTAATGCATTGATGCTTAATTATTTGTGGTAATGGAGACACTAATATTGAAATAATAGGTATTGTGGTCATAGAAATTGAATATGTGATGTGGTAAGAGATTATAATAGTTGATAATTCTTAATTAATCCATAATTCTTGATTATTTTCAATTTATGTTATTCTCTGTTATTAACGTTATTTTGATACTATAAAATATAAATGTTAGGTATATATTGAAGAACAAAATCGTGATGTAAAATTAAATATTGATATTTAAGTTACGATTACAAACCAGATAGAAGAGCTTCTGCTACGTCATATACACCGAAGAGCCATTACATTATGACCACCCTCCATCGATAACAATGGGCTCGCCCATGTTTTCATGGTTTCTCGCCCAGGAACAATGTTTTCATGGGGCACATTAGGACCCATAATCCTCATAGAACAATCCCTGACGTCTGTAAGCTACTTGAACATAGTTTCAGACCAGGTTCACCCATTCATGGCAACAGTTCTTCCTGCAGGGTATGGTGTTTACCGACAGGATAATGCACCATGTCAAAAGGATCGAATCATCATGGATTGGTTCGAGGAACATTCCAGTGACTTTCAAGTCATGTCTTGGCCCCCAAATTCACCTGACATTAATTCAATAGAGCATTTGTGGTCCTACTTGGAAAACCAAATTCGTGCTGCCACTCTACCCCCTCGCAATGTGAGGGAATTGCAGGACCAGTTGGTGAGCGCTTGGTACCAGATACCTCAGACTATCTATCAGCAACTTGTGGAATTAATGCCACGGCGGGTGCTAGCAGTTTTGAGGGCTAAAGGTGGTCCTACATGTTATTAGCAGGGTGGTCATAATGTAATGGCCCGTCGGTGTATATTTACATGATATTAAAAAGAATTAAACAATATATATTTAAATTTTGTGTGGAAAATTCTAATTGAACTAAAAGTTGTTCAAAGTAATAAAATAAGAAATTTTTAAGTATACTTGGCAAGAATCTTTTTTTCCTTCTTTGTATCCGGCGCATACTTGTCCTGGAATAAATTCTACCCTTCTCATTAAATTTGCTTCATCATACAAGAGCTGGCATTCAGTTATATTCATTATGGGAACAAGAAGTTTTTGCAAAACATTAGAGCGTTCTCCACCTAAAAGAAGAATAAATTTCTTTTCTAAAATTCGGTGAAGTTTAAAATCTACAACAATGTTTTTATTAATACTTTTTCTCAAAGACACGAAAATGTTCCTTTGGAATGAAAAAAGTTGCTTAAAAAAACATAATAGTTATTCCAATAACGTTGTTTAAAAGTGATGCCACACTCGAAAATTTGAAGGAAGCTTTTGTCATTACAGCGTAAAAATAATAGATGAGTGTCAGAACTATTTCTCTGCAACCGTTGTTACTTTTTAAGAAAGCTTCAAAATGTCTCCAGAAAGGTTTTTATTTATTTTTTAGAAATGTAAATATCTGTTGGTAAAGCGAATGTTAAAATAAAATCCTTCATTCAAGTTTCCAAAAAAATCTTATAAATGTCTTCACATCATCCTAAAAATATTTTATATGCATCAAATGCTTATGGCGTTGGATTTTTATAATGCAATCAAATTATCTGTGTGTAAATTAATTTATTTACAAGTAAAGCTGGCATACTGCTTAGAGCTGACCTACAGCTTAGAATATGTACTTTTAACCAGCTAAACGATCACATTCGCCATTATATTTTCAATTTAGAATAAGTTGCAGTTCCAGACGATGAAATATAATATCGGTAACTTGAATTACAATACGGTACAAAAATTTACTTCATCTCCAATAAGGAGTTAAATGGAATCATACCTCAGTTCAAGTTAAATTATAGAATTGTGTGATCTAGTTTGAGAAGTGAGATAGTATTGTTAACCTTTGCACTGTATTAATATCGCAACAAATCTGAAAGATGGTATTTTTAAAAGAAGTCTTAATTTAATATTTTTTTTAGAGAAATCAGATTTTTTTATTACAGTGGTTGTTTTTAATATTTAAATTAATTATTTTTGTTTAATTTTTTTGTTCATTTACAATTTTTTTTTTAACATTTGGAATTAAAAGCTCGTAAAAATATAATATTAATGCTTACTATTGCTTCAAAACACTATTAAGCTAAATTACTTAACATTTCTAACTAAAAGGGTTAAAATCTTTATTTAATTTTTACAATTGAACAACTGAAAAAGTAAAATGATAGTATTTTATTCAAAATTAATGCGGTTAATAATTTATAAAGGTAAATTTTTGAGTTTGATAATAAATGAAGAATAAATTAATTTAAATGAGAAAGAATAAAAAAGTATTATTTTTTTAATTACTGTTGACAGAGAAAGACTTTTTTTTACACAAACTACAAATTTCATTAGTTTTAGAAGTACTATTTGCATTTAAATAATAGAATATAATTGAAATATATTTTTAATAAGCATAGTTTAATTATGCTTATTTAGTAAGCATTATTATTCAAAATAATAAAAAATTATTTTGCATGCAGGGCTAATGGAAAATTATAATTTAAGCGTCCTCACGTCACTTTGATCATTGTTAGACACTTTCTTTTATGTCTATTAATCTAATTTAAACATGGAACAATTTCTATGAATCTCGTTCTCATCATTTTTTATTTTGGATAAAACCTTCAATATCAATAAAATCAGACCATATCTCACATAAAATTCCAACCTTGAGAATACATTTATAAATTATGATGCATAACGAACCTAATTTTGAAGCGTTGTGTTTATTGTTAACACAAAATAATAAAAAAAATATAGTGAGAATTTAAACTAACAAGTTTCTGTAAATAAAAAAAATGACATTAATATGATTAAAATAAATAAAAGCTGGTTCAAAAAATACGGGCCAAAAATATTCTGCTTACTCACAAAATGTTACGTATCCAAAATTGCTCCATAAAATCATTTTTAAAGAAAAGAAAAAGCTTTTTAAAAATGGAAAAAATTTCTGAAACATAACTGAAACTTAAATGGGAATACGCCATTTTGCCAGCAAAATTAAAGATTAAAAAAAGTCCTCAGAACACACTGGCCTTATCATCCGTGACACTCACATTCGTTCCGCACGTGCAATTAAAATTAAATAATTATTGTAACAAATGAAAACTGTAGAGAAAACTACTGGGGCACTGTAAATGAAAAATGTGAAACAAATCAATGTAATATAAATTTTCAAATCATATAATGGATTCTATTTTTATGAGTTATGGTTTTTTTATGACATGAAAGTGATGTTTATGAAATGAGAATGTTTCTAAAATCCTCAGTTGAGTGAGCTGCTGGTATATCATATGGAATGGAGGTTTAAATTACATAAGGATTGGAGAAACTTTGTTGGCTCGTTAAATACAACTGGAGATCTTTTTATACCTTTATGAAGTAATGCCTATTCGCAACTTGCCCAAGTGGCCATGGAGGTTCGTTAAAAACACTTTATAGATCTACGATATGATGATGTGGTTAACAGTGCGCACCATTCGTCCTTCTTTCTCAGACAAGCTAGGACCCCTTGATCTGAATTTGGGTTGACTTCAAGTTGCCACAGAAGATGGAACCCAGGTTAAGCACAATGATAGCTCAATGCCTGAAACACTGTGCAATCGTGTCACTTTTCTAATTATACTACCATATAATATTGATACTAGGGGCGATATTTTACTTTTATTTGAAATTTTGAGACCTGGAATAAATTTCCTTTAGTCTTAATTTTCCTCATAAAGGAACTTAAAATTTACACGATATCAATACTTACGAAGGATATTACAAAGGATAAAGATAATAGGATATTAAAGAGGACATATTACAAAGATTGAAACCTGCTTCCCCAAACACATACTTGATTGCCTGAAATTTTCCTTGGGGGACATTCTCTTGCAACCAATTTTGGTGTGTGACTTTGCCAGAGTGTTTGGACTCATGGATTTGATATAGCTAAGGCTATATTGTGAAGGATTAGAAATAACAACACATTACGAAGGACTCTCGATTAACATGAATAGGATTATCTGAAATGCTCCATGAAAGGCAGTATTAAAAAACGTAATTAAATAATACATAAAAAGATTTATATAATCTTCTCTTTCTGTTTTTATACCCAGAGAGATATCTTAATTCCGGTATTTAGATTAACTCAACAATAAAATTTAATGATTATTTTAACATTAAAATTGATGTTTTTTGCATTAATTAAATTATTAATTAACCATTGAATTATAGTTTTATATTTTGTTCATTAAATTTAGTACAATTAGATTGTTTTGATATTTGCTTGTCCTGAACAAGACAGTTTTGAACGTCAGTCAGCAGTCTATTCTTGAATAATTTATTTATTATTTTTACAAAATAAAATAATTAAAAATTATTCTTTAAGAGTTTATATGTTTTTTAAGCTGATAGTGAGACAAGTTTGTCTTTTTATGTGGAAAATCTTCATCTCAAAATGAAATAATTATTTAGAAACCAATTTTTCAGGTTCAAAAAGTTGTCATTAGTAAATAGTGGGTTTTGAAGATATATAATTCCGAGAAGTTATTAAACAAGCTTCCCCTTAACTTTCTATATTCATTTCTTCTTTTTTGTTTATTTTTCTGAATATATCAAAATATCACTTAACTATAAAAATAAGAATATAGAAGAAATTTTGTACTTTTTTTTTAAATTTGAGACTGCTGTAAAATGCATAAACTTTAATATATTCTGAAAAATTATCAAAAACTTACTCATCGTCAATCACAGATCTTTCAAAATTTTTGATTTATTGAAAGGTATTAAAAATTTACATGTTTTGGTAAAGGTACCTCACTACAAAAAAATCATTTCAGAGATGGTCACGATTTCAAACCTTGTATTTCTCTTTCACTTAGCATATCGATTGTTAGGAATAACCATTAGGTACATTATTTTGATATTTCCTGGTTATATGATATTACTGAAAAATACAATTATTTTTTATACTTCTTGCACTGAAATTATTGAATTGTTAACAAAAAAAAAGAACATTAATGATCCTTGAACATTTTTTAAAAATGTAAACCGAATGAGTTTCGAACATCTTTTAAATTTATGAAATAAAACTTCAACTATAACAACATTCTTACCATTCTCGGATAGAAAACCCCAGCCCATAATTGTTCCTTCCTGTCCAGAAAAATCCTCGTCCTCCTGAGGCAGACAAGAGGGTCCCACGTAACTATCATATTTAATAGGCTTCGTCAGTTTCAGTAGAGCTATGTCATTATTGTATCGCTTCGGGTGATTCAGTTTTGGATGTAAGATTATCTTTTCGATCGAATAATCTTCCTCAGAATGAAAGTTTTCTAATTTTGTCAGATCATATTCTCCAACTCTTACCGTTAAATGTTTTGGAGAGTAACTGCAATAAAAAAAGAATGGGTTTTGCTTAATTCTAGCATGAATTGTAATTAATGTTTTTCTAATGTATCTGTTTGAAGCTGCAATGTTTGAATTGTTTAAGCTTTATTCTTTTCATTTTGATTTAAATATTACCGCGAAAGGGTAGAAATCAGTTATTCTACAGATTATCTAGCTAATACGCATATTAACTAATTAGCTAGTGTGATCCGGGGAATTTAATCCAAAAAATTTATTTATTTCCAAAGTAACCTAGATATGCAGATTATCTAGCTAATACGTATATTCACTTGTGTGATTCGTGGAATTGAATACAAAAAAATGATTTATTTCCAAAATAACCTATCTCTGCTGATTATCTAGCTAATACGCATATTAACTAGTGTGATTCGTGCAATTGAATTCAAAAAATTGATTTATTTCTGAAATAACCTATCTCTGCAGACTATTTAGCTAATACGCGTATTAACTAGTGTGATCCGTGCAATTGAATCCAAAAAATTGATTTATTTCCAAAATAACCTATCTGTGCAGATTACCTAGCTAATACGCGTATTAACTAGTGTGATCCGTGGAATTGAATCGAAAAAATTTATTTATTTCTAAAATAACCTAGATCTGCAGATTATCTAGCTAATACGCATGTTAACTAGTCTGATCCGTGGAATTGAATCCAAAAAATTGATTTATTTCTAAAATTACCTAGATCTGCAAATTATACAGCTAATACGCATATTAACTAGTGTGATCTTTGGAATTGAATCCAAAAAATTTATTTATTTCCAAAATTACCTAGATAATCTGTACATCACTATCAAGCACTCGTAAAAGTAAAAGTAAGAGTTTGTCTGAAACACCAGCAACGTTTCTGCGCTTTTAAATTAACAAATTAACATAAAGTTATTGAAATATTTTTTGCTATCTAAAATAAAGTAACTGCAATTAAACCATCAGCACATTAATCAATCATCAGTCACTTTAAGAAATAGAATCAAATCATTTAAAATATTATTATATTTCAGGGCTTTAAAGTAATATTAGCTATTTATTTTTCGGTACTTTAAGAATCAAGTTAAATACAATCCAACAATCAACAAATTAGTAAAGAGAATGATATAAACAAATTATTGAACTTTAATATTTCAGAATTTGTTAATGCTCACATTTCCTAGATAAATTGCGGAAAACGCTTAATTCCGCAGTTGAACAGATAATTCTAGTTAATCTGCGGATTAACTAGATATTGTGCAGATTAATGGTTTTCGAGTTAACATAAATATAGTAATATCATTATATTTATCAATTCTAACCTTTAAGATTAACTGTAATGAAGAAGCTTGAATTTAGTTTAATTTATATAGGTACAGTGAGCCAAAAAAAACGGTCCACCCTGAATAACTTTTGATCTGATGATTGGATCTTTAAATTCTAGGACTCAATCATCCTAATGGATCCAATGAGTGAATTCAAAGATGCTAATAAATAGGTGCAGACGATATTTTAAGTTACGAAGTCAGACACAAAATCGTACTTTCACTGAATAAGCATGCCTTTTTTTTCGACGAATTCAGATTTCTGATCCCCAAATTATAGGGAGTAGCCGCAATCTGGAATATACGGCCCCAATAGTTTGGTCAGGTGAGCACTCAAAAGTTTGGAACCCTTAATGTTAATTTTACTCTTTGAGTATTTCACTATATCTCGAGAACTTTGAAAGGGAATTTAAAAAGTACATAATTATAAAATTTATTAACCAAAAATAATGCCATGCAAAAAATAACTTTTAGCAAATATATATTATTTTTTATTATTTTATTCCATAATGGTCGAAAAATTTCCAATTGTAAGGTGAAAGATTTTTTGCATCATTTTAAAAAATATAATTTTGCATTTCAAAATACGAAATTTGAGCAAAATTGATTGAATAGTTCTTAAGAAATTGAATTTCAAAATAGTCAGATATTTAAAATTTGATTTCTTAGGAACTATTTGATCCAATTTACTCAAAATTTATATTTTGCCATGCAAAATTATATTCTTTAAAAAGATACAAAAATTTGTATACCTTACAATTCAGCATTTTTTCAACCATTAACAAATAGAAAAATAAAAAAAAATAAATATTTACTGAAAATTATTTTTGTATGGAATTATCCTGAGATAAGGGAATTTTGTGCAAAAGAAGTGCAAAATTTTTTTAATTCGCTTAAAAGATCTCGAGATATAGAGAAATACTCAAAAAATAAAATTAACATGATCCAAACTTTGGAGCACTTTAATGACTAAATTATTGGGATCATATTCTCTAGATTGCGACTATCCCCTACGTTTTGGGGGTTAGAAATGCGATTTCGTCGAAGAAAAGGTACAGAAAAGGCCACAGAAACTACGTTTTTGTGCCTGACTTCGTAACTTAAAGTATCGTCTGCATTTATTAATTGGCATATTTGAGGCCAACTCTTAGAGCCATTACGAATGAATCCTAGAACATTTTACATAGACATGTGACCTATGATCTAAGCTCTAGCTGATCGCTTATAAATCGATCGTTATAAAGATGGCGTGTTAAAGTAGAGCTAAGTCCCGCCACATAAGTTAGAATGTTAATTAACGTAGAATTAATTAAATACAACTTGTATCACGCATCGAATTTGCTATAACATAATTATTTCGCTTTCATGTCCTTTACCTAACATAGATGTATTATTGTTTACGTATTTTATTGAAACCGTGATATAGTTTTGTTTTGTGTACTTTGTCACTTCGATACATAATTAGTTTGTTTAATGCTCAACATGGCTTCGTGCCTGTCTTTGTTTTAAGTAAGAAATAAGAAGTGAAAGAATTGAAATCTTTGTAAAAGAATCTTTGTGAAAGAAAATAGAATGTGTCACTTCAGAGAATGGATACTTGACGGGCTTGGTTTTCTCGGAGTAGAATGGAAAGAACAGTTGATAAAGTAATTAATCATCACGCTTCAACAAACAATCAGGATCGAGATATACACAAAACGTCACTTGTAGATATCCTATTATTCTAATTTAATATTCTTAAGATTGTTCTATTTGCTCACCTTCTTACGCAATGAGCAGCTGTGAGAATCCAAAGCTTTTTTATAATCACTCCTCCACAGTGGTGCCCTCCAAATGTACTACCACCACGACGAACAGACACCTATAATACATGAAATAAGTATTGTCAATTTTCGAAAATATTTTCGATGAACAGTAGGCAAAAAAATAAGCGAACCACGCTGAATAAAATTTGATCTAATGATCGAATCTTCATGTTCTAGGATTCAATCTTAATGGTTCGAGAGGCTGATCGCAAATATGCTAATTAATTAGTGCTGACGATATTTAAAATTACAAGATAAGACACAACAATGTACTTTTTCTGAATAAATATAGCCATTTTTTCAATGAATTTGGATTTATAACCCCCAATATACAGGGGATAACCATGATCTGGGAAATATGATCCCCATAGTTTGGTCAGGATAGCTGTCCCAAAGTTTGAACCCCTGAGTTATCAAATTTATTTTTTGCGCATTTAGTTATAACTCGAGAATTTTTTATTTTAGCAAATTTAGCGAGAACTAACTGAGAATTTAGGAGAATCGGAAATTTTATGCAAACAATTATATAAGTCCTTGATCCAAACGTTATTCCATGCAAAAAATAGCTTTAAAAAAGATTTATTATTTAATATTATTTTATTTAAAAATAGAGAATGCAGAAAATATAGATTATTTAAAAACAGAGAAAAAATTTGAGTCTGAAGGCAAACAAATTTTTACATCTTTTTAAAGATAGTAATTTTGAATAGCAAAATAGAAAATTTGTGCAAAATCGGTCGAATAGTTCCTGAGAAATCGAATTTTTAAAAATTTGATTTATCAGGAAATATTCGACCGATTTCGTTCAAAGTTTGTATTTTGCCGTTCAAAATTGCATTCCTTAAAATGATGAAATAAATTGTGCACCTTGCAGCAAAAAAAAGTTTCGACTACTTTTAAGTAAAGTAATATGAAATAATAAATATTTTTTAAAAGCTAGTTTTTTGAATGAAATAATACTTGGATAAACGACTCAACATAATTGTGTGCATAAAATTTTCAACTAGCTTAAAAATTCTCAAGAAATGGCGAAATACGGAAAAAATAAAATTAACACTAAGGGGTTCAAACTATGGACTGCTCTCCCCAAATTATGGGGACCATATTTCCCAGATCACGGCTACCTCTTATATTTTTGGGAACAGAAATCCTAATCCATCGGAAAAATGGTATGCTTTTTCAGAGAAAGTACGTTTATATGTCTGACTTTGTAACTTAAAATATCGTCTGCACTAATTAATAAGCATATTTGATTTTACCCCCTCGAATGATTAAGATTGAGTCCTAGAACGTGAAGATCCGATCATTTGATCAAAGGTTATTCAGAGTGGTCCATTTTTTAGTTCGCGGACTGCATAGTGCTCAAAAAATGAAGCAACCGGGATAACTTTTAATCTAATACAGTCGAACTCGTTTGTAACGAGCTCGGATTTAACGAGAACTCGGATTTACCGAGGGAAACGAGAATTTTTGGTTGGATCAATGTTAAGTCTATGGAACAGAAGTCGCTTTTAACGAGCAAGATCCGGTTTTAGCGAGCAATATTTTTCTGTCTTGCATTCTTTTTTCTCTTCTTTCTAGTCTTTCTGTCTTATCTTTTTTTCAAAATGATAAAGAAATGCGAGGGAAGGGGGTTAGTTGTCATTAAATTAAGAAAAATATTTAATTAAATTAATTAATGTAATTAAAGTAAGTAAGTATTAATTAAATTTTAAGTAAACTCAATCATTTGACCTCCCAAGCCCCCCCCCCCCTCTTCTGGTTGCACGCCTGTCTTAAGGACCCGTTTATTACGAGCACTCGGATTTAACGAGTACATGTTACGGTCCCTTTGTGCTCGTTATAAACGAGTTCGACTGCAATCGGATTTTTACTTTCTAGGACTGATTCGTAAATGATTCGAAGTGGTCACCTTAAATATGCCAGTTAATTAGAGCAGTAGATATTTTAAGTTCAGGAATAGAAACAAACTTTCTTTGAATTAAAATACCTTTTTTCGACGCATTAAAACTTTTGATCCCCAAACTAGCATTTGATTTCAATTTTATTTTTATGTCAACTCTTGTTTGGTAGTCGTTAAATTAAAAATTTTCAAGTCTATTATTTCTTGCTTCCCATGTAAAATAAATAAAGAGACGAACTACTAATTTACATCATTAAAAAAATTTTCTTACTCATAAAACTAGAACTGAAAAACAAATCGACTCAAAACTTTTGCTGTATATATTGTGTGTATGCAATCATTAGCGCTGAACTTAAGTAAAAAAAGTTTTATTTGGTTATGAATACCCACTTTGAATATTAAGCATTAATTTTAATATTTTTGATGTTATGCCTCTGTGCAATTTCCATAATATTAATATTAAAGGAGGATGTTATAGTTACTTAATTTCGTTTAGCTAATTTCATTTAGTTAATTTCGAAGAAAAATAATATTAACTGCGCATAAGCTACTAGTACATACAACCCATAAATAAAATTTAAAAAAAATGGAAAAAATCAAGAAAAAAAATTTGAAAAAAGGAAGAAGTGTTTGAGCCCATCCATTGCTAAAAAAATTTTTTTTTGTTGCATAATGTTAATAATTTCTGTAAAAAACAACGAATTAAGATGTTTTACTTAAAATTCGATCCTTTATTGTAGCGTATCTACCACTACAAAATTACAACTACAATTCACTAGTATATAAGACATGTTAACTCGATTCTATGGTGGGGTACCTTTTCATAGATGAAGGTTGACGTTGTCTAAACATCTTTCCCCACATTGGTGACCCGGACATGATGTGAACACGCCTACCTGGGCAGTAACGCCCACTACAATTTGAATATGTCTACTTCGCTCACACTGAACAGTTGACTTGCTACTTGTGACTGCAACATCATACACCTCCTAGTGCTGTCGCTGCTCAGTTTCAATCACACACAACGTACAACATATACACTCGACTGCTAAAGGCAACACAGGAGCGTCTACGACCGTGAAGTTAATACACCTCTCACATTCACCACTCAAAAAGTACAGTGATCTTAATACAGCTCACCAGGCTTCGCACGAAAACAGCAATGATTCAACTAGTGGTATCCATTCATCGAATCACAGATATAATTCTGGTGGGGGAGTACTGTAGCGCATCTACCACTACAAAATTACAACTACAATTCACTAGTCTATAAGACATGTTAACTCAATTCTATAGTGGGGTACTTTTTCATAGATGAAGGTTGACATTGTCTTAACTTCTTACCCCTCATTTATAATTAAAAACTTTTAATTATACAGCATAATACATTATTACCTTGCACCAGGTATATATACCTTGCACCAGGTATATATATACCTTGCACCAGGTATATATATACCTTGCACCAGGTATATATAAATATATACCTGGATTGACTAAAGTATATATAAAAACGACTTGACTTTCGAAAAGAAAATATTCCAACGTAAGAAAAAAAAATTAATAAAAAATTAAAGTCACCCAAGAACAGATTCTAAACAATTTTCTTTTTATATTCAAATCATTTATATATTGTTTTCTAAATAAAAAAAAAAACTTTTTAAAACTCAATGTCGTTTTTAATATGAAATCCTTCTTCTTCATGTTAAATTTAAAAAAAAATGTTTTCAGGAGATTTCCCTTTGAAAATAATTTTTTGAAAGGAACTGTATAAAAGATTGCCTTTAATTCAATTCCCGGAATAATATAGAGATTTGGAGTGAATTAATTTCGCCACTCGTTGAATATATATTGAAAGCATTTTGTGTTTGTGTAGAATTGAAAAAAATACTTTTTCCTTTAAACTACTGAAAATATTTGGGTTTTTTTAATATAAATTACGAAATAAAATATAGTTAGTATTGTTATAAAAGTTCTTAAGGGGAAAAACATTCGAATAATACTTCAATTTTCAATGAATTCTTATTCAACTCAATATTTTTTTAGTTAAAAGTTTTATTACATTCTTATATCGTTTTTTTTTAATCAAAGTTAACTACTTTTCTATATTTCACGAAAAGTAAATTTATTAATTTAATAAATCTGGTATTAATACTTGTATCTAATACATTTCCTGTCATAAACAAACTGGTTCAGTTTTTAAAAATCAACTGAATTTAAACATATTCCAATACCACCATAGAGTTTTATCAGGAATATTTATAGTGCTTTTCTTTTTGTTTTAAATTTTCTTTTCCATAAATATCAAGAAAATTAAAGATTTTCTTTTCTTATTTAGATCTTATATTATTTTTGAAGGATGACTTCTGGACAAACTTCTTGCCACATTTATGACCTTTATAACTTACTATAACTTAAAAACTTGTTTAAAAGTTTATGACGTTTTAAGCATAAGTTTGAAAATTAAAAAAAATGTTTTAAACCAAGTTTCCCAATAAATATATTGATTTTGAGAGAACTGAATAAAATAAATGCCTTTAATTTAGTTCCCTGAGTAGTATAAAGAAATGGAATGAATAAATTTTGTTGCATGATGCAAAGATGATATTAAAAAAAATCGGTACTTTTAAAGAACTGAAAGGAATTTATTGATTTCATTTCATTGAAAACATTTGGTGCTTTTTTACAAATAAATAATTAAATATGGTTAGCGTTATTTTAAAAGCTTTTGAGAAGTTCAAATAACATTTTTATTGAATGCTTGTATCAACTATTTTTTGAAATATGTTTTTTTATTGTTTTTTTAATCCTAACTATATTTCAGGAATACTACATTCCTTAGACTAATAATTTTATTAACTTTAAATAAATAAGGCATTCAAAAAACCTATGAATCTTTGTTTTATCTTTGGGAAGGTGCATGTCTGATGTTTCGTGTCTGTTCAATTATAAAAAATATATTATTTCATCATCTTAAAAGCACTATAATCAAATTTATAAGTTATTCACTTGTGTTTTTTCTTTTATTCTTTTTTTATTTTTTTATAATTTTGTATATTCTTTTTAAAAATTATTAATATAAAATATATAATTAAAAAACTGAGTTTAAATAAATTCCTTGAAGAGAATTTTCATGAGGTTAATATTTCCTTC